AACACCAAAATTCTCAATCGTCCTGATTGCAGCTCATAAAATAACACTATAATTAAAAAAGAAAAAATCTCTCATTTCCTGGTTCCCTAGGCTCTGTCTACACATTAAAGAATTAGAGCCAATTATGGTCCGTTTGTGATGCTTCTCTATGCAGAGATAACAAGCCAGCATATTAACCATGCATGTTAAGCATCAGCTAAGAGAAGGCCCTGAATTCCTCTCACCCCTTTGACACTTTGTTGAATTTGAAAGGTTGCTATTATTGATAGGTATAGAGAATATTTTGTTTTGTGAAGGAATAAAGGGAATTAATAGCAATAAGGTTAGGAAACAAGAGAAAATAAGGTTGGTCATTTTTTTAGATTATTATGGAATGAGTAAAAAAAGTACTCATTCTTAGGAAAACGTGGTAATATACATGGCTATTCTTCGCGAATCTGTTAATTTAGAAGAAAATGTTTATTTCTCTTCCTAGTTTGTCAATCAAATTTCTTGATTTTGTTCAATTTTTATAGTTTCCTTCAATTAAACATATATGGCCTTTGATTTTGACGAGAAATAAAATCAAACGCATGACCTCAAAATCTTTTAACAGTGCATAAAGTATAGCTACGGATTAAGAAGAAGAAGAAGAAGAAGAAGAAATTCATGAAGTAGCATTAGCAACATCTTATGTTGCTTTGTTTCAATGAAAGAGAAAAACACACAAAATAAGTGAATAGTAACAGATTTAAAAGTAAAAAAGAGATATATAATGGAGAAATGAGAAAAAAGCTATACAATTCTCTTCACCTCTGAAATTTCATGCAAAGTATAGACTCCCATTCTAATTAATCAAATAGACAACAAGAACACCCATTATTACTTGCAGCAAATTCTAAGGGTTTATATGATTATTAGTCCTGATTAAAAATTCTTTAAAATACAACAGAATTAAAAACTCTCTCAATAATAATAAGTGTGAAACTTAAGATTATTGTAAATGCTGAACAAACATCTGCAATGGTTGTCTCTCCAGAAAACACCATTTTATATTAATTGTCTGTTGCACCGTCTACTTTCAATATCGAAATTCAAAATCAAGTTCAGAAAAAAAAAAAAAAAAATTATTTGTCAGCGAGGACCAAGACCAAGCCCAAGCCCAAGTGCAAGGAATTCACGTGCCCATTATCGAAGAAATTTATTCAAAACTCTGGTGGTTTCCATAAAAGTAGATCCTCCCATGACCCAGATCAGTGTAAGGAATTCACGGTCGGATTGTGCTAGCTGCTTAATATGGTTTACATGCTGGCACGAATGCGCTGCATATAGAAGCATCTCTATCCACATTTCCTTTATCATCTTCCATCTATCCCATATGCGTCTCGAGTTGAGTTCTATGACTAGCTTTGATGCATGCGACTGCAATTGATTCAATGGAACTGCAGCACTGTCTATTTTCTTTTTCCTTTTTTCGGCCTTCTTAGAACTGCTCATCCTTTACATGTGCAAAAAACAACGTAATATTAAAAATAATTAACTTAACATTTTTATTTGTATATAACTCAAAAAAATTATTACATATTTAATTCAACATATTTTTTTTATATTTGTCTAGTTCAAACATTAAAAATTTAATATAAATATAATCAATTTAATTAATTTTTAAATCTTATATGTATAATTATATTTTTAAATTTATTTATTTTAATTATAAATTAAGAAATAATGATTTTTTAATTAATATGTTATGCAATATATTAAATTTGAGTGTGTACCAATCATTATACATATAAATATTAATGTTTGGATAAGTAGTATGAACAAACCTGATTTCGTACCATGCATCACCATCCTGGTTTAACAATAATGTTAAAGCATGATCCATATTCGCTTCCTCGGAGAAAAGATCTTTAAGCTGGTCACAAGCATTCAACCAAAAACTCCTACAGTTCTCAGGCAGAAGCATAGCAGGTTGCAAGGCCAACAGATACATCATATAATCTGATAAATATTTGCTGCTTTTCCTGTCTTCAATTAAGAGATTGTGGTATCTACCTGGGACATCTAGATAGTAGCAAATACTTGTGGCGAGGTGCCAGACTATGACGCTGGTATCAAAGTCCAATTCAATGCTCTCTTTCACGCGCATATATAATGATGTGTTTGTCTCGATTTTATCAAGCGTCTCTTGCCCCCTTGTTGGTTCAAAGGAAAGCTCACCCGTGAAAAAGGAATCTAACTGGGCTTCGTAATCTTCTATTAGCTTTAAACAGCTTGGAACTTCCACAAACCTAGTAAAGTTGTACTTGTGCAAATTTTCAAGAAAACGGTTGCAACAACACTTTTCTAGAAAGCCATAAACCTTGGAATTACTGGAATGCCTGTAATAATCTAACAAATTAAATTGCCCCATCCTAATTGGCCGCCTATTCCTTTGAGGAAATAACAAGCGAGGAAAGTATTTGAAGACGTACCAGAGTATTTTGCGTACCCAACGATTTTCATGAAATAGGATCAAAGGAATTGTCCAATTTGAAGAAAACATTGAGTACACCGCAAAAAATTCTAGTGCCACAGCTGCAACCAACAAGCTGATTGTTATGTGAATATCAACACTTGAGAAATGGAACTTCGGCTCGTTCATGATGCTGATCAAGAAGAACAGTAGAACTGAAAAGGAGCAAGTGAAGCTGATGACGCGCAAGACACATCCTTTCTTGGTATAAATCAAAGAAGTTTTTGTGTAAACAGTGTCGAAAATGAACCCCATTTCTGCAGCAGCTATTTCGAAAGGATTTTCTCTTAGCTTTCCCATTTCAAGCAAACTTACCAAAACTAACTTCTGATGGTTGAATTTAGTTTCCTTCAAGTAAGTTTTTATCCTTTCTGTTGCTTGAGAGGATGAGAGATACAACTTACCGCTCAAATAATCATTTACATCTGGTCTCATAACTGAAAACAATAAATAGCCTAGTACCAAACTTGTGGAATCTGGATATTCATGTAGAAATTTGTCAATGCATCTTGACATCTCTAACTCATTTTGATGATGAGACTCGGAGATGACCGGTTCTGTTTTCTTAGAGCTAGTTAGCTCAAGACACAAAATCCTCTCCACATATTTAATAATTCCAGCCAATATGAGAGGAATGGTCAAAATGGAAAGCCTAAGATAGGTCCATGACAAATAAATGACATAAATGGCAAAGATGGATTGGACCACTAAGGTGAGGATGTGTCTGGTCCAGAGCTGGGTATCTTGCAAAGCGTAAGCAATTATGGTATCCGGGCCTCCCAGGTGTAGTATCAAGATGGGAGCCCATAGTGCTCTTAGAACATTTTTTGTGGGAGACAATGCACGAGCACTAGAGAGCTTACCAAGAGCAGCAATGGCTACCCAGTCCGCGCTTATGTAGGCAAACCAAAGAATCATTCTTCTCTTCAGGCTGACATTGTACTTTCTGCGTTTGCCTAGGACATAGAGGGCTATCTGCAAGAGCAAGCTCAGGAGAACCATCCCCCTCACATCCCATTCTCTCCATATCTTTCGCATCAAATATGTAAATGTACTCGCAATTGATGATGCCGCCTTCCCTCTGTTTATATATATCCATAACAACAAAACATATATGTTAATCATAAAAAATATTTTACACAAATTTAAATGTTTATAATTGATATTTTATTACAAGTTTAAGGGACTTACCTTCGAACCATTGCTTATCATAAGCTTCTGCTTCGAGCCTTTCAAAAAGGAAGAAAAAAGCCCTTCTGGCTGGGCAATTAATCTTCTAACTTCAATATATGGTATGGACAGTTCTTTTTTATGCCTTAATTAATGACCTTCAATGGTGTTTATATACCAGCTCTCAAAAGATAAAGATCAGATTTATTTCTTAGTTTACATATTCTCATTCTTTGCTTGTAGTTCGAGCATGCACACAATATAATAGTGTAGAAAAGTAGCTGATTTAGGAATCTTACTTTTAATCCTCATCTTTATTTTCACAAGATATGAAAATTAATAAACGAAGTCCAAACAGTTTCAACTTCATCTGGATAAAATAAAGAATGAAATTTCGGACCTTAGCAATTTTTTTAGCTGAAGATCAAGTTTTCAGGTGTTTCCATGAAAGAAGTCTGTCGCACTCTTGAAGAATGCTCTTCAAGCCAATATTCTTTTCTTATTATGAAAATCTAATTACATTGATAAAATAATAAAAAAATACCAGAGTTAAATATAGTAATGCTATTTTGTTTATTACAAATTAAGTGTAAGTTGGATATAAACTTTCTATTGAAACTCAAGAATGTAAAATTTCCCTATTGGCAAATAAATAAATTGGCATGGATTTTTTACTTCTTATTTAGCATAGCATCCGTTTGATCTAGCTGCTTTGAGCAGTCTATGGAAATATTGGCAAATCAATTGAAAAACTTTTTTTTTTTTAATTGACAAAATAGAGATCTAATACTTGAATTTAATTCCACTCTACTTATTATGTTATACTTAAAGTTAACGTGATATTTAACTTTGTCAGTCGGGCAGCCATATATTCTCATTCTTCAATTCAACTTATGAAGAAAAGCATCTGATTGGAGATCTTCTCTTTCATACTAGCTCCTATAACTACAATAAAATGGACTTTTTGTAACAAAAAAAAAAAAGTGATTGATTTTCAATTTGTCACTAATATCCTTTACCTTTATGACTAAATCCAGATATTGACCACTAATACTATTTTCAAATTTGGAACACATAATTTCGACACAACAATTACATTCAATCAAAAATATTTTTCCCAATATAAACAACTTAAATTTGCAATAATCAAAATTGTTATAATAAGGTACTTATTAGTTATTAGTAATTTATTAATCACAAATGATCAATTTTTGTCACAAATAATAAATTTTACTTGTGGCTAAATTTTTTATTTGTAACAATTACATTTGGAATGGTATATACAATTTATCACAAAGAAAATCCCAAAGAGCTATTAACAAACTTTTCTGTCACAATTAGTACACAATTGAACTTTAAAAAATAAAAATAAATAAATAAATAAATAAATTTGTCACAGTAATAATCTTCACAAATTAATGAATATATGTGACTAGTAGTAAAACAATGATCACAAATAAAAATTTTTGTTGTATATAAATTTAGTGACCATATTAGGGTTAATACTAATATTGAAAGTGAAAAGATGAATAGTTAAGATTTTGTGTAAGTGTGATATGTAAAACTTGGTGTGTAAGTGAATTTCTATTATATATATATATATGTGTGTGTGTGAAAAAGATTATATCAGTCCTGACTTCTAAAAAAATTAAAATCCTAATCTTAGACGGTATTGTTTCATTTAATTAAAATCTAATTCAAAATTAAAAAAATAAACCTTATTAAACATTGATCCTATATTATATATTCTAATATAATCAGTTTCTAAATCCATGTATCAATATTTAATAAGGTGATTTTTTTAATTTTGAACTAGGTTTTTGATTTCCAAACGTAGGTATCAAAATTTAATAATATGAATTTTTGAATTTTAAATTAAGTTTTAATTAAATACAATAACATCATTTAAGATTGAAATTCTAATTTTTTTTAAAAGTTAGAATTGATATCTATATGTATATGGTTGTTTCATTTAATTAAAATAATGTCCTTCTATCTTCCCTATTTTAGAGTGATTAGGATGTAAGGTGAATGAGCACTACTTCAATATATGTATATATGTAATTGATAAAAAATATAATCCGTAAAATGGGTGAGAGGGCAGGATGAGGAAGAAAAGTGCTGAAATGTAATTTCAATTACTTTTATTTTTTATATTTTAATTAATATGAATGTTTTCTGCAATTTAAATTTCACAAAACTAATCATAGGATAAGATAGGACTGATCGATATATGAAAATGATTCAGGGATATTTTTTACGTCATTTTAAATACAATTTTACTTGTTATTTAAATAATTAATATTTTTATTCATTTAAAATCAATAATATGAAATATATCTACTCATTTAATAATATATAAAAATTATTTAAAAATATATAAAAAAATAAAATATTGTTTTCAAGATAAATATACAGTTCACCTTATAAAATTACTTAAATACCCTTAAATTTTGTTTTATGTTATTTCAGTAAGGGCATTTAAATAAAAACAGTTTACTAATAAAAAACTATCCCTGTGGCATTGCTTCAAACGTATAGAGGAACAGGTCCTGTTCAATTTAGCGAAACTGATTTTTAAGTTTGGTGCAGCCAGTGGACTCCAAAACCGCGGACTCTTTAGTTAATTAATAGAGTGATGGGTCCTTAATTTTTATACGTGCCACTTGTTTTATATATGTTATGGTGGGAGCCACAAAGCCACAGAATTAAGCAGCACGAGGGTTACAAGTATTAAAGACAAAGAAGTTAGAGGGCATCCGTGGGGCCAAGCCCTCTCATTCTTTGCTTCAATCCATGCAAAGACAATTACGGGGTATAAAAGTAGCTAATTCAGAATCTTTCTTTTAATATCCTTTTCCATTTCTTTGCCAAGACGTGCAAATTTTATTCGGTCGTGTAACACATGCATAGGGTGCATAATTAAGCAGCATGTAAGTATTATTACTTAAACAAGGAAGCAATAAAAAAACAAGAACTATTATGATATTATATTGATTATTGGATATTTCACCTTCCTTCTTCCTGGTTTAATTCATTCATTCAATGATCCATTAACTTTCTTCAATGATCTATTTAGGAAGGTAGTTAGGGAAATAGACCCTGATCCGAGATCATAAAACATGGAGATGACTAGTTCTCTTTTCTTAATTCTCATGAAGATTCTCTATGCAGAGATCATAAATATTCTCATTCTTTGCTTCTAACTGATGCTTCTCTATGCAGTGATAACAAGTAAGCACATTAACCACGTTAAGCTGCCGGGCGAAGACCTTGAATTACTCTCACTCCTTTGGCTCTTTGAAAGCATTGCGATTATTGATAGATGATAGGGCATATTTTGTTCCCGATGAGGAATAAGGGGAATTAATTAATAGTAATAATACGGTTACGAAACAAGAGAAATTAAGGTTGGTCATTTTTTAAGATTATGGAATGAGTAAAGAATACTCAGTCTTAGAAGAAAGTGGTAATAGTTATTCCTTGCGTATCCATTAATTTGGAAGAAAATGTTTTATTTTTCTCTTCTTAGTTTGTCAATCAAACTCTTGATTTTGTCCTATATTCTTATAGTTTCCTTCAGTCAAACATGACCTCATAGTCTCTTTTAAGCCTAGGAGTCTTATTTATAGATGCTGAATAAACATCTCCAGTGGTTTATCCAAAAAGGACACCATTTCATGTTGTGCGTGTTGCAATGTCTGCAGATACAACGCTAGACTTTTCAATTTCTAAATTTAAAATTAAATTCTCAAAATACAAATAAAATTAAAAAATTCATTTTTCAGCAAGGCCCAAGCCCAAGGCCCCATTATCAAAAAATATTCAGCCTATTTCAACAAGCCTAACCCTTTTCATTAGCATTTTTTCTAAAAAAAAGAGATCCTCCCATGATCCGATCGAATGAAGGTAAGGTATTCACGGGTCGTATTGTGCTAGCTGCTTAACATGGTTTACACGTTGGCATGAATGCGGTGCATGGAGGAACATCTCCATCCACATTACCTTTATCATCTTCCATGGTATTTGTTCTGATGATTTGAGTGTGACTAGATTTGATGCATACAGTTGCCGTTCTTCCATTGGGGTACTCATAATTATGTATGCAAAATCAGTGTTATATTAAAAATAGTGAACTCAACATTTGTATTTGCATATATAAGATTAGGTAATTAGTATGGTTGAATTTGACCCCACCATCATCCTCTACCTCTTCTTCACTCAAACCTGAAAGGGCTTCATGACCATCCTGCTGAAGAAAGACAATGCAAGGGAAGGATGTTTGAATCAAAATACTGAATTGTATTCCCTTTGAGTAATATTCTATACATTGAGTAGCTATTATATACAATCATAAGAGCAAATCTAGATTCTATAGTTATGTATACAAATAAGGAATATAAATATTATTTGCCTAATACTACAGAAACGTTGCCTTCATAACCGTTAAACTGATCTTCCTTTAATCTTTGCTCAAGGGATTGAGTAGCTACCTTCTTTATTCCTTGATTAGCTCTATTAGTCGATTCTTCTTGATTCTTCTATCAACTATTTCATGCGTTGATCCTTCGTACTCCCCCTCAAATTGGAGGTAGGTGATTCAACCAACCCCATTTTGAATTTCAATAGTTGAAATTGTCCTTGTGGAAGGGGTTTTGTGAGTAAATCCTCAAGTTGGTTTGAACTAGGAATGTACTTGGTGATTAAAGCACCAAGAGCCTTTTTTTCTCAAACAAAGGGATGATCTAACTCAATATGCTTTGTCTAGGCATGGAGCACAAGATTCACAAACATGTGTAATGAGCTAACGTTATTCGAGAAGATTTGAGGTGGATGAGGAAGGGAAACTCCAATGTCCCATAGAAGATAGGTTATCCAAGTGACCTCAGCTGTGGTAGATGCTAGTGCTCTATACTCTACTTCAATAGTTGAGCGAGCAATGGTAGATTCCTCCAATGAAGACAAAGAATACAATTTGTGCCAAGAAAGACACAAAATCATGTGGTGCTTCTCCTAGTAATAAAAAATCTAGCCTAGTCTGAGTCACAAAATCCAATTAAGGACAATGTATCATAAGAAGAAAACCGAAGACCATGATCCATAGTCCCTTTAATATATCTTAAAATACGTTTAATTGGACGAAG